CCAATGGTACTTAACCATATATTCCACTCAGTCGCTGACCCTTTTTCAAAGTCCTGCTCGTGTAGAAATCTCTTGTGTTATTGGCTCACTTACGTGGTTGCATGCATTGAAACTTGATATGCAGCAGCCGCGTTTACGTGCCGCTTAGCTGACGCTGCAGCATGCGTTGACTTTTTAACCATGTCATCGGTGTAAAGTAAAAGATATTGGAGTTAATATTCTTTTTAAATATTTTGTATACATGTTTAGCTGGGACACCCATAGTGTCGGCTATTCTCACCCAAGTCTCTCCCACTCTGCCTTTGCCCAGTGCAAAGCGTCTCTCTCAGTGCAGTGCTTTAATGGAAGAAAAGGGACGAGAGCCGCTTCGCGAAGAACGCGCTGGTCTTGATTAACGGCAGCAATTTGTCAGCAGATTCAGTGTCTGCTGTCTCTGCCCGGTTTACGGGTTGACAAGACCCATCGAGGCTGTGTGAGCTACACGGCCACGTGGGCTAGCGAACGCGCCACGTCTCAGATGGAGAGATGAAGAGGGAGAGTACAGATCATCAATCAGCAAAGTCTTCCAGGCTGAGATAGAGGCCGAGCCTCCTACATTACAGTAGAGCTGACCCCCTTGTCTGGGTAGAGAGAAAGCCAAGGAGACGGTGACGAAGATGATCCAGCTGTTCAACAAAAAAAGAATCCCTGTAGACTTTATTAATACAGGAGCAAGTATGCTCCTCTGTCTTACCAGGGAAAGGTTTGATGTTAGAGCAGTGAGGAAGGAAGACCTGACAGGGCGGATGGAAGTATTGACTTATTGTCATCACATGACTGAGGTTTACTGTTCCAAGCTTAGAATGGTTAGAGGTTAGGATCCTTTACCGCCTAATATGCTCTTGAACTTAAGCGGAAACACTCGAGTGGCCCCTCAGGTATTCCTCGCAGCTCTTTGAGTCGTGCACTTACTGCAAAACTTAAAGTAGTGTTTACAAAGTAGCTGCCGAATGTTGAAAGTTTCAGGTCCATCGTAACAGTGGCCCACGTGACACATGGTGAACATCATTCTCGGGACACAACTTTCACAGCTCAGCACTGTGACATTGCAGATTAAACCTGTTTCTAACTCCTGGAGCCGAAAGCGGGAAACTTTCTTTTTCCTCCCCTGATCAGAGCCACATGTTGCCCTTGTTTCCTGATCTGCTTTTGTACGCTCTGATGTGGAGCGTACATGTACACTATGTATGTGTCAACAGAAGCAGTGCACAGCGGTGTGGAGCTCTGCGGGGGGTCTCTCATGCCACGGAGGCCGCTGAGGTGATAATGCTTCACGGCAAGGCAGCCCCTCAGAGGCTACCGGCCTGCCGGTTGGACGCCGCGGCCCCGGCTCTCTCCATGCCGTGGGCCGTTGTTGTGGTCCTGCGTTACCCAGACAGCTGTATCGGAGTGTACAGATGATGAGATCTCGAGCAGCAACTACGGAAACAAAACGATAGCCTGAGCTTTAAATCACCGTGGAGAAACGGACACGGACAGTATATGCCCAACCGGTTTTTTTTTGTTTTTTTTGGGGGGGGGGGGGGGAAGACATGTATTCCTCTGCAGCTTGTATGCCTTCCGTTCTTACTAGCTGCCCACTTCTTCCTTGTTTTGCTACTTCTCTCTCCAGCGTCACAGCTTCTGTAGCGCTTGCTGTGCGGTGCTGTCTGTTGTTATCTCAGCTTGTTGATGTAGTGGGCATTACTCCCACTTTTCAAATTACACCCAAACTCAAAACTCCGAAGCCTTAGCCTCTCTTTGTGTTTTCTGGCAACCCAAACAAAAGAAAATAGGCGTTGACTAATAGAATTCTCTATGAGATTTTTCTACATAAATCACAATTTAGCGTAGCCTGTTGGTTGTGTGCTATTTGGCTTAATCCACCAGGCAGCCTAAGTCACCATGACTGTTTTTTAGTGTAAGACAAGGTCAAGGAGCTCACGCTCGTGACTCTGTATCCAAACCTCAGTGGCGGGCCGTGCATTGTATACCTGGGCCTTCAGTGCTGTCCTACCACAGTTGAACCAGCTCCTAATAAGCTCATTATGACGCCACAGCTACGGTTATTATTTGTTTCTAGGGGTGTAACAATACACGTATTCATGTTAAACTGTTCGGTACGAGGCTTACGAACCGAACAATAGTTTGAATAATGCTATTGCATTTGGAAAATGCAGAAGCTTAAATTGTGGGAAATATAATGTAATTTCGGTGGAGCCACTGCGCTCAACCTGGCAACCCACCTGACCTAACAGACAACGTGCTGTCTGACACGCCCACCACGGAAGAAAAACATTGTACTCTGGTGATGCACGTGTGTTCTGGGAGGCTATGCTAAACTAGCTTAGCAGGAAAACCAACAGCAGCACACACGCTGAAAACTCTCCCTGCAGCGTTTAGCTGTTCCCTACTGATTCAAACAGAGCTAAAGCAATCCACACACAATCCCCATTTCTCCAGACCATCATTCTTAATTTGTTTAGGAAACAAAAGAAAAGAAAACCCCAAACAGAAAATCAAATGTCCGACCCTGACCCCGCGCATGACGGGATGCTTCATCATTAACGGACAATACATGAAGTCAAAATCAATGTAATTAACACAATGACGAGGACAATCTCACACCAGTCACATATATTTATATGACAACAAAGCATGACACATCAATCCAGCAACACTGCGGCGCTAAAACACGTCTTCCACCGCACACTCAAGAGCACCATATCATAAAAACGACACCATAGACAAATGAACACAGTAATGACGCTACTGCAGATGTATAAAACACAAAAGCAGTTCACTTACAAAGTATATCCTCCTTTCTTTCCCTTTCAGGATCAACAAATATCGTTTCTCAAGATCTCAGTAGTAGTTGTCACGTAAACGCTGCTTATAGCGACTCAGCAGAATAGAAGCAATCTTATCTTCCATTCCGTATCAATGGAGTAAGGGAAGTGAGGTGAATAACAAGTGGTTAGATGTGTTGACATTTTTTGGCAGGCGGAATTAAGCAGTTTTGTTTCTTGTGTTTTTTTTTTTTTTTGTTTGTTTTTCTGACTGCGGCGCCGTCCCGTTTCGTACCTGGCAGAAGTGTGATAAAGGAACATTGTCCTCAATTTGTTGTCACAAAACGCCTCGGAGCTCGTTTTGAATGGCCCTAATCGGCTGCCCTGTTCACCCCCGTGCTGTTTGAAAGATGGTTGCTGGAAATGAATTCAGCATAGTCATTCGTCCTTAGGCTTGTTTCCGCTGACCCAGGTTTGTTTGACAAGTGCATCTGGCCCACTTGCGTGCGATGAACAGCTGGAAGTTCATTTAAAATTCTGAACCAGTTGATTAATTCACCTGATTGCTAATTGTATTTATTGTATTTTACTTGCTCTGTCACACACAGCATGTCGCAGTTTCACCCACTTTCATTTAGTTGATAGTAAATCCTTGATCAACATTCAACATTTTAGCATTGTGTTTTTTACTCTACCTAAAAGCCCCCATTAAAACAAATCTTCACGATGCCTTCTCTTTATCAAAAAGAATCTGGGAGTTTTCAAAAGCAAAAAGTTTCACCTGACACCCCTGCAGGATCATAGTGCCACGGTAAAAGGAGAAGATGTTATTGTTTTTCTGATGTTTATCGGCATCAAGGGTTGAGTGCACAGGCTCAGTCATAACTTCCTGCAAATCCCATGTGGCAGAGCTGTACGTTGACCTGGAATAGCCTCGGAAAAGGAAAGTGTTCATGGCTCGCCAGAAGACGTTTTTTTGCCAGTTGCTTATTAAACTGCTGCAGCAAATTGTGTGAGTACGGTGGTGAACATCACTGTTCCCCTGCCGGTCCACAGACTGTGATAGAGCCTGATGAGCAGGTGTTAGGCCAAGGAGTGGGGGTGGGGGGGGACTATTCTCACCCGGGGGGGAAAAGAGCATATCAGATTCTGCCATCCCAATCACCTAAACAGATGAAGCTGTCAAAACAGATTTGCCCTCATGTTCCAAAGGGCTATCTCCGACTGCTATCGCTATCACCTGGGACAGATTCAAAAATGTGGGCTGAAAATCTGTATCCTGTAGGACTCTTCTCCAATGCTCTCTTTACATCATCAAAGAAAAAATGTTTACTGCGGTAGTTGCCAGAAAGAGGCAATAATATCCAGAGGTGACTGTGTGAGTCCCTAGGATTTGTACAATGACCTCGCCAAGCCGATCGGCTCTTACACTAAACCCACTGAGGCAATTTCTAGACTTAAAGCTAATCGCATCTTTCTACGCCAGATAGTTGACTCATCCTGGTTCTCATCAGGAGAGAAAGATAACCGACTCTCATGAGTGGCAGTGAGACATTTAGCAAGAATGAAATTATCTATCAACCATTCTGACAGTATGATTGCCTCTGTCCTCTGTAAATCCCACCATGTGGGTTTGTTGTCTATAGCTGTGTTGCGTTCCCTTGGTGCTGTTGTGGGGGGTGGGGGGGGAGAGAGTCTCGCTTTCTATGGGTTCTGGACTTGAAGAAAACATACTTGGAAGTGAATTGTCTCTTTGATCGATGGTCTGAATAATGCGCCTGCTTATCATTTGTGCACTGATGTTGCTGTTCCCTCTTTACAGCAATGACGGTGACATCTTTGTGGTTTCAATGAACTATTTGGCCTTTTCTCGGTTGTCTCCACCTCCCAGGACTGATGGGTTCACGTCTATCGGCCAGCTTTTGATCTCACATTGCGGTTCGATTATGAGAAAATACTAGTGATTAGATATTGTGATGTTTGCAGTTTGCGGTATTTAAGGACTTGATCAGTGTGGTTGAATAAACTGTAGACTTTTTACTATCATGAATTCAGTATTGTTTTAGTCCTTTTGTTTAATGTCAAAAGCACATCGTTAACTTTTATGGTTTTGGGAGACTCGGCAGTCGTGCCGGGACAAAGAAGATCAACCCCAGTAAATTAGAAAAAGAAACAAGGAGGGATAACAGACCCGACTCATCCCCATAGGGAGAATCATGAATCTTACGATGCCCTCCAAGCTAAATGAAATGAATTGCCGATGCGGTCATAGCACCGATGAGGCCGGTTGATTTACTAGCCTCTTGAAAGCACAGTGTCAGCATGCGGCTGTCCTCGTGGTCCAGTGCGCGGTCGCAAACAATGATTTGAATGGTGACTTTGTCTCCTCCTCCTCCTCCTCCTCCAGGCTCCACACAGCCCAGAGAGCCATCAAGCAGACCCAGGTGACGGTGCAGAAGATCGGAAAGGAGATCGAGGAAAAGCTGAGGACGACGACGACCTGCACGGAGCGGGTGAGTGCAGTCCACCAATCGGCAGCAAATTTCCAGCTCATCAGCAACTTTACATCAGCAGCAGTAGTGTTTAGGCCGCTTATTTGCTCATTTTCCGCGGCAGCAGTTGTTTCATCAGCTTATGCGATTGGAGAAATATGCAAACGTTTCAGGTTTTGAGGAAATTGATAAAGACGAGGAGCAATTCGAGATTCGATGTTTTCAAAGAAGGTTCTCCAGGGAGCGGTAATCGCTGCGATCAGCAATAAAAAGGCCCATTGGCTTCCACACAGACAACAAACTGTTCCGCGGCCAATACTTATGTGAGACTTAAGAACTCGTATCACCCAAATCCCCAGGTGTAATTGTAACGTAAAGTAATGTCACGTGTAATTACACCCTTTGGGCAGCTATTGTATCCTTTTGTTTGGACGGCTCAACTGAAAAGTTAACACTTTGACCAAAACCCACTGTTTGTGTTTCGACCTCCCGTCATACATCCTCGACTGGGATCCACAGCGAAAGCAAGGGAGCATTTTTAACATTTTTGCAATTGGCAGCCGCACAGCTGTGAAAACGCAGCGCTGATCCCAGGTTTGACATGTTTATTGTAAACATTCACTTCAAACGCGTCCCGTCCCTCCTGCTGTTATAAAAGCCCCGAGGCAGTGACAGTTTGGTGTTTTTCCATCCGACAGGTAGACTTGTCTTTCGGAAGAGAGCGCAGCTGGGATGTGTTTGCGTCCACCCAGTGTTTCAAATCTACGGGATGGTGTGTTATGTGTGCACTTTTGCACAGATACAGAACATTAAGGTTGAGAGAGCCTCTTTAGACAGCTGTTACAGCTGTTTCTTTCCATCTCATTGGCTTTTGATATGGCTCTTTTTTTATTGTTCCTCTCCCCAGACCTTTACGCTACCTATTAAAGCAGCTCCACTATAGCCTTTTCAAGCCTTCCCCCAAAAACACCCCCCCCCCCCCCCCCCCACAAACCCCCCCCCCCCCCCCCCCACAAAGGATCCCTTTCAAAAAACTCCTCTGATATTCTGATATTTCCCCCTCAGTGAAACATTCCTTCGAAACCCTTTTCAGAGCTCACATCAGCTAATAAATCACATAATCCTCGTACTCCACCTCTCCGTCGAAGAAGAAAAAATGAAAACCCCGGCAGTGAGTGGAGCATTGTGTGGCTCTTCTAAGGGTTCCCCTCTTTGCCTTTTGGAGAGCTCAGCACTATCCTTCTGTGTGCGTTGTAGTGAGCGCAGATCAAAGTGGGGGACAGAGTGGAGGCCACCATGGCCCTTTCACCCTCTCACCCACACTCTGCCATTAATCTGCTGGTTTATATCATGCCCCCACGCCCGCTGCGTATTTACTCAGCTGACCCCAATGATGTTTGATGTTCAGGCAGACAGGCCCTGGTGGTCGGTTACAGTCTCTCTCACACACAGGCTCTGACCCACTTGTCAACTGTGCCGCTCAGTGAAAGTGTAGGAGGGTCGCGGTTCGTGCCAAAGCCAACGGCGGTTAACATGCAAGCATCAGGGAGCGACACGTGGGAGAGATGGTGGCTCTATCAGTCTCCTGCGAACTGATACGGCTCTCTGTTTTGCCCTGCGAAGCCCTCAGAAGTCTTCAAGAAGAAGCGCATCTGTGTTTCCTCTGATCCAGGCCACGATCACTATCTTAAGTGTGTGTGATGCCACGGTCCCTGCTTGCAAACTGCAGGGGGGGAAACAAAGACTGGATCTCTGTTATCCTGCCAGCAAGCTCTCTCCCTACCAACTCTTCATCGTTCTCTGTTGAATCTCCACAGACATGTCTTTGTCATCATCCACATCGTCCCTAAACGAGGCCTCTTAAATCTCGCCTTGCATGTTTTTTTTAAGTTGCTGCATCTGTTCATCCGCATCTACTGTATATAACAACCACATCCATCAGTCTGTGCATCCCTAGTGCTGCTCCTCATTAGATGGTGAGCCCACTGCAGGCTTCCCCTCTACCAGATAGAGACATGAAGCCTGACGTAGGGACACCCTATAGAGCGGGCTGGATGTTGACCAATGTCTCCACACGGGTGCTTCTGACGGTCAGGCTGCAGAGACAAAGACGGACTCGTCTGGAGGGGACTGGCTTTATTGTGGTCTCTCACTCGAGTTTGTGTAACAAATCAATACATAGATATACATTTACTGAATTGTTAACATCATAAATTGTACACCAGCAACTTGGTAAAAAATCTCAAAAATGACCAGGAATTACATTCATATGAAAACGGGAATTAAACTCCCAGTATATAATGTATATGGCATATAAGCACAGAATTGAATTGAATAGGTCAGCCCCCACTGTCACCGATACCCGATCCAGCTATTTGACTCGGCGTCGATATCGGTGCACCTGTAGGAGAGAATTAGCTCAGTAGATGTGCATTAGATCAGTGTCACATGAGAGCATGGCTTGTTTTTGAAGGAGCTTATAGGAATTTTGGAGTCATTATAAAGGGTAATAAACACTAGAATTGCTTTGCACACACACTAAATATTTTCCTTCATCCCCTTTCTCTGGTTTCTCTCCCGTTTCGCTCCGAGCAGAAGAAGGAGCGAGAGTGCATGCAGCTGCGCATTGCCGTGCTGCGGAGTGAACTGCAGCGGCAGAGGAAGGCGCTTGGCAGAGAGATCGACCTGCGGCAGAAAGAGAGAGCACAGCTTCAGAAGAAAGGTAAAGCCGACAGGTTCACACGCCACAAAACTACCCGTTGTATTGTTGTGATGGGACGGGAGCTATGAATTTGTATGAATTGCTTTGCTCATCTGTTGCACACACGATATGTTGATGGATTATTAATTGTTCAATAGATTCATTTTACACAGAAGATCATCAGTTGTTTCAGCTCTATAAAGGTCGTTGTGCTGCCCTGAAGAGTGAACACTGCTCTTCTACTGCAATCTAACGTTGTACACAATGTCGGCACACTCTTTCCCTTTCGCAGAAACACAAAGTGGCATTCAGCCACAAGCAACCGAACCTATTGATTCATGTTTTGTACAAAGTTTCACATAGATGATCAGTCAGTCCTTCTGCAGCTCAATCAAGTACCTTGCCCCACCCGAAATGAATGTTGTCAGTATTTTGTCCATGTTAATGTCTCACCAGTTGTAGAAAAGACGGGTTAAACATGATGCATTGCAAAGTAGATGCATTCCGACATCTGATATCTATAAATTCAGTTATTGAAATAAGATGTCTTAAATGTGCTCCCTTTGCCATTTTTGTCACCTTCAACATGTGATGTTATTGCACAGGAAACTCTCATTTTAAACACATCGGTGAAGGTGTCGGCGCTGTCTGACCGCAGCAGGTAGACTGTGTGTGAGTCGTCCTACCTGTTCACTTCGGAGTACAGTGGAGCGTGTTGTCACGTACAGGAAGCGTCTGTCCGAGGATGGGAGTCACTCGACACACATGCCCATAACGTACAGTACATAGAGCTGTTCCTGTGGTCGCTGCAGCCTGTGCCAGGCCGCTAAAGCGACGGTGTTTAACCTTATGAAGTCTGCTGCTGCTCTCTCTGATGTCTGAGAGCTGAGGAGGGATTTACTGCTGCCTGTTATGTCATAGGGACATCATAAATGCAGTTTTTGTGAAGCTGGGCTTGACAAACGTGCACCCACATATAAACCCAATCACATGTGCAGGTGTACGCAGGTATGATTGATATTAAACTCGAATTATTATTATTTTTTTACAGTTGCATGTACACGCAACATGCGTGTTGTAATTTCAAGGTGTTCCTTATTGGCTGCAGCACGTGAACTTTCGGCTTTTTCTTTTCTCAGCTTCAGCCGGCCCTGTTTCATGTTTGGTTATGTGTTTCTCACGGCGCTCATAAACATTCCACATACACCTACTGCTTTATACAGTGAGTCTGTTTATGGCTTTGCTGCATCAGAAGGGCCTGTTGTGCTTCGAATGAGAACAAACCATAATAATAAGGAAGCAGAAGTTCATTCCGGCCAACAGCTTCAGCCTGATTGTTGTATGTTGGAGATGGAACCTGTTCCTGTGCAGCTTCTTAAGGTGCATTGTATGGCTCTCTATAGGAAGGCTGACTGAAACGGTCAAAGCTCTGACCGTTGACATGGTTTCACACAAACGTCTAATAGGAAAAAATATGTATTGACAGATTTCATGTGCAACTTGACTAGTTCGTGGAGGCAACTATTCTAGTTTTTTGTTGTTTTATTATATATATTACCCAAATTTATTATAATTTTTCTTTTCAATAAACATATTTTTTAAATTCCAAATAGCCCATAAAATATGCAATAGTGATCCCACGTTCGTCCTCATGCATCTTTATTGTAAGTTCTTGTCAGACCGCTGTATGTCGTGTAAAGTGTGTGTGTGTGTGTGTGTGTGTGTGTGTGTGTGTGTGTGTGTGTG